TCTACCTCTAAGTCTGTGATGTCATGAGACTGCTTCCTGGGATGGTTGTGATGATCAAATGAGATAATTCGTGTAAAGTGATTTACAAACATTACATACAGCTCTACATAAATGCTGTTAAATCCTCTCTAAATGTCATCTATTATCATATTAAAATCACGAAGATTTCAACTACTATGTACTATTACATTGAAACAGCATGGAACAATTAGGTAGAGTTAGTTTCAAAGCTAGGTTCTGTTTCTGACACCTATTGTCTGTAAGACCCTGGCCAAGTTGCTTCTCAGTGACCCAACTCTCTAAGATTATAAGTTGCAGAATAGCTGTCAGTCTGCTTGAGTAGAGGGACTTTCCTCTTCTGGGACTAATGAATTCAAAGGTCTAGTCCCTATCTTCCATAATATCATATTATATAAATATCATCTCTTACTATGTTAATGTATTTCTGGGGAGGGGGTGTAGTATAGCTCCTGGGACATGGATAGCATGTGTTTAATAAATGCTTTATTAATAAAGCTTTAAACTGCACTAAGCCTTTTGGGACAATTTCTGTGTGTGTGTGAGCAAGAGAGAGACAGAGACAGAGAAAGGTACAGAGAGACACAGAAAGAGAGAGAGAGAGAGAGAGAGAGAGAGAGAGAGAGAGAGAGAGAGACGGAGAGAGAGAGACAGAGAAAGAAAGATACAGAGGGAGACAGAGAGAGAGAAGAGAAGAATGGGAGAGATAGAATGCCACCGTGAATGGTGTCAGGAAATCCTGGGCTCAAGTCCTGCCTATGACCCCTGGTAAGTCACTTAAAACTTCTCTCAGTCTCATTTTCCTTATGTGTACAATGAGAGGGTTGGATTCGGACCCCATGTCCGCTCAGGTCCCTTTACGCTCTAGATCTATGATTCTAGGGTTACTTATCAATGCACATTAATTACTGCTCCAAAGCTTATAGTTGGAACAAGTTTCCTTGTCTGTAAGCTCATTACACCACTAAAATCACTGGTCCATTCATTCCCTATCCTCTTTCCCTATTCCCATTGCAATATCATTACTACTACTAAACTCTTTCTTCTTTAGAACCACTCAAAATACTAGCCTCTCTGACTTGAAAAATGTCCTGGGTAAACAAATCTAGGTCAGCTAGCACACTGGGCCTGAAGTAAGAAGACCTGAGTTCAAACCTGGCCTCAGACACTAGCTATATGACCTTGGACACATCTCTTGACCTTGTTTGCCTCAGTTTCCTCATCTGTACAATGAGCTGGAGAAGGAAGTGACAGATCACTCCAGTCTCTTTGCAAGGAAACCCTAAATGAGGTCACAAAGAGTCAGACACGAATGAAAAACAACTGAACAACTAAACCAATCCAAATGAAGACAGTGTGGTGTGGTAGAAAGTGACCTCTTTTGGGTTCAGATCCCGGCTCTGTCACTGTCTATGTGACCTTGGGCAGGTCACGTCCTCTATGAGCCTCAGTTCACTTATCTATAAGGCAGGACTGTTTGATTTGGTCACTAAGGACCCTACCAGCTCTAAATCTGTAATCCTATCACCTACTTCTAGGGTCTTAGCAATCACAATGAAGAAGCAGTTACTGGAAAGTTGATCTGAGGAGCTACTGCTTGAATGAAGGGCAAACTTGGATTCACGTTGTTTTAGACCTCTTTCCTAAGAAAATCCACAGAAAAATAGACTCTGAAAAATGAGGTTATTATTATTATTATTATTATTGATTATTGATATTATTGATATTATTGAGCTAGGACACAATGATAAAAACTGCTTATTCCATTAATTCCTTGATTCTCTTAATCCTCATGAGCTTATTTTATTAAAAAAAAAAAGTTAATGGTCAGCATCACCTAACTGTGATGTTATTGTTTGGTCATGTCTGAATCTCTATGACCCATTTGGGGTTTTCTTGACAAAGACACTGGAGTGGTTTGCCATTTCTTTCACCAGCTCATTTTACAGATGAGGAAACTGAGACAAACAGGATTACGTGACTTGCCCAGGGTCACACAGCTAGTGAGTGTCTGAGGCCAGATTTGAACTCAGGAAGTTGAGTCTTCTTAACTCCAGGCCTGGCATTCTATTCACTGTGTCACCTAGTTGCCCTCTTTACTTAAATTATCTGCAACATGTGAGCCTCAGAACATTTCCTTTTTACACTACTGTCCAAAATAGAAAGAATTTCAGTGCTAAAGTTTTTTAAAGCATAAAATTGTCCTTTAAAACAATGATATTTGTTAGTCTGGAAATTTCATAGCTACTGAGGGCGGGGGTGGGAGGATGGGGGGGGAGGGGAGGAACGGAAACTGACTTGTGATTTCATTGGTAGGGAGACTCCCAGATGAGGTGACTCCCGAAAAGCTGAGGCCCAAATCTGTAATTTCTGCTGCCAGGGAGACTATCTTGAGGCCAAGAGTTCTGAGCTGCAGTGCACTATGTCAATTGAATGTTTGACACTAAGTTTGGCGTTAATATAATGAGCCCCTGGGAGGGCCAGGGGTAAGGGGGGAGGGTAGGGTAGGAGAGAACACGTAGCCTAAGAAGGAGTGAATTGGCCCAGGTCAGAAATGGAGCAAGTCAAAGCTTCTCTACTGATCAGAGGGGTCTGTGCTCATGAGTAACCTCTGCACTTCCAGCCTGAGTGAGAAAGGGAGAGCAAATCATTAAAAAAAAAAAAATTAAAGAGAAGAAGCCTAGCACCTGTGCTGCTACATGGAGTCTTACAGAGTTGTCTGGGGGTGCTGAGGTTAGGTGAATTACTCAAGTTCACACAGCCAGAATGTGTGAAAGACAGGACTTGACCAGTTCTCTATTCTCTACACCACATGCCTCTTTATTAGAGTATTTTTTCAGGAGACATCTAATAATATATAAGGACAAGAATGAAATGTCCACTTCTCATAACAGTTCTGAACAAGCTTATACTGAACAAGATGCTATTGTGTTTAACAAATCAGTTATTCTTTCCAAGAGCTCCCTAATTCAGTCTGACAAAATGTTGCTCATTGTCTAATGATAGCATTATAGCGCATATGATTGAAGGAACCCAGTCTTGAGTCTGGCAGCAGCGGGGACAAACATGTGACACACGACTTCCAAATTCTGCAATGCTCAGCACAGTCACATAGGATGCATGACTCCACAGCTTAATTTCGAAATTCCTCCAGCACACTTTTGAACCGGAATTTGTCAATTATAATTTGTGTAAAATGTCTGTCATGAATACGAAAGCAAAATGCATATCCGGCTTGAATTTCAACTAACCTAAATATAGTCTGGTAATGGATATTAGTCAATGGCTATTTGTGGTTCCATCAGTTGTCTTAAAACCACCACAGTGAATTGGCCAACAGAGACAGAAGTAGGTTTATAGTCAGAGACCATGGGTTCAAATCCTGACTTTGCCTCTGATCAGAAGAGTGTTACCTACACCAGATATTTAACCTTTTTGGGCCTCAATTTTCTTATTTGTAGAATGAGGAAATTAGACTATCTGATCTCTAGGCTTCCTTCAAACTCTTAATCTATAATCTTATGAATATTCATTACTGGTGTTTATCTTATTAGTTATCAGAACCAATATTGTATTTCTATCTTCTCTTGATTTCTTGAGGAATTTAAAACTAGCATTTCGGTCCCCAAGGCTAAATTTCGCAGTATAACAAATATCACAAGAAGCATTATCAACTATGTGACACGTTGGCAAATACTAATAATAATAACAATAGCTCTGATTTGTTTATATAGTACTTTAAAGCAAACAAAGTATTTTCATTCAGAACTCTGGTAGGTAGTGAAAGCACCATCACCTCCACTTTATAAATGAGGAAAGCGAAACTCAGAGAAGGTAAGTGCATCATAGTAGGTCACAGAGCTAGCAAATGGTAGAACTGAGCTTGAACTCAGGTCTCCTGAAACTAAGCCTGGTGCTCTTTCCATTAAATCACATTACCTCTTGCGGTAGATTCTAACTTATTGCTCCATCTCTGCATAACGCTGTCTGGTATGGGGAAATTAAATTCTAGAATCTTTCTCATTTTACAAAATGGGATATATTGCTCACCTCCTTCACAGGTTACTATGCAGGATGCTCTCTTGACAAAATATGTTACAAATCTTCACCACTAATTTTATCAGAAGACAATTGTAAAAGTAATGTCTTGTTGGAGCAGCTCTTCTGTCAGTTGGTAAGAACCATTATAATATAAAGTTTGTTAACCTTGGAAATTGCCTTGAGAATTCAAAAGCATCCACTATCTACAAGACTAGAACTCACCCAAATTGATAAATAGGGGAAAAAAAGAGAATTCTATTTTACTTTTCGATATGAATCTTAACACGAGGAAATTAAAAATTTTCCAATAAACCATATTAGGGTCCATAGAATCTAATTGCCAGGAAATTCTTTTTGGCGTCTAATCTAATACCCTCTGATACATCCATTGCCTCTGATGCATAAAACATGAATGAATCATGGCTTTTTTGTGACCATACCATAGAGTGACAATAATGAAATTAATCTTAGAGTCTTGGGGTCTTAAATATCCTGTAAGACTATGACTTAACTGAAATCAGAGGGCTCCTCTGTTCGTCATTCATCAACAACAACAGCAAAATGGAGAGAGTTTGTTAAATGATCTGAGAACATGAATAGAAAAGTGCTAAATGCTCTTTGAAATTTTTACATTAACTTTCATAAACATTATCATCATCAACTATGCTAAAGTCTAGAATGGAGTGATTTTCACTTTTCCATCTAAAATGTATTATCTTATTAGTTACACTCCCAATTTTTAATGTAGCCATCGTGTCAATAAACAAGTGGTATACCCAAAGACAATGTGTGTAGTAAAATGGGATTACCTGATTTTATCATCAATAGCAAAAGACAATTTGATGGGTTAGTAAGAAGCAATTAACAATTTAAAAAGACACCTGTAGAATATCTAATTGTATCAACATTGTCACTCCCATGAAAAGAAAATAAGATCATACCTGAAGTGTGTTAAATGTCTCTGGATATCGAGGTCTAGTATTGGAGTAGGTCTGGATGATCCAAGTGGTGATCTATCTTGGCTCAAAAGGTCTTGGAATTCTTTACAAATTTGTCTAAAACAAAAAGAGCAAGAGTTGGAAATTAGACCCCAGTGAAAGGGCTTTAATTTACCTGTCTGAGCCCAAGTGATTTAGATGCTCACATAAACATCACATTAATTCTATGAATTCTTTGCTTTTCGTACCTGTGCTAGCACATCTTGCTCAATGGAATATTAAGTATAAAGTTTGGCCTCTGTAGTATACAAAGAATGAATTCCATTTTTTTCTAAAAAAATATCATTGCTATATGGACATTCAATCTACAACAAATCTAAGCTGTGTCTATGAACTAAAACTTATTCTCTAGTCTCATGGCTGATGTGACTTATGCTTATGGTAATAATTAGGTCTAGAATACTACTAGACTCTATCGCCAATGCAATTGCAGAATGCCAAAATATATGGATTTGTGAACTGTGATGCAATTAACAGTATTGACGGTTTTGGCCAATACTGTACAGCATATAATGTAATTGAAGAACAGGACAAATCATCATAAGCAAGTGCTGCTGTGTAGACCTGGATATTGTTGTAAATTAAACTCACCATTTTAAAGTGAAACAATATTTTTATTCATGTATCAAGGGGCTAACCAGTCACTGAGCATCATTAAATGCAAATATTTTCTTGTGAGGTTAAAAAAAATAGACCAAGTCCCTTACTGCATTCTTTTAAGCTGACATTCCCTTGAAGAACTTTTGTGACATACTTTACAGATAAAGGACGTTGGTATAATCAACACCTTTACATACTATAGTCAGTAACAGCATTCAGATTTGGGACAAGCTCACAGAATCTTCACTCCATTTCCCTTGGGGGGCAGTTGTGATGGTGGAAAACATGGAGAGGAGAAATGGAAAAATTAGTTCTTATCTGCTGTAAAGGAAGTGAGATCTGTCCTTTAAAAAATGTTTCCCTTGCCAAATGTCTGGTTAGCATGCTACGTTTTCATTTCTAAATTCACATTTCCTAGAAATGGAGATAGCTATTTTGCTTGGTAGATCCCAATTTTAAATTAAGTCCCTACTTTGTTTTTACTGACAAGGTAGAATTTTAACTTCTTGGAATATTATAAAGATTTAAATTTTTTTCCAATTGTTTTGTACGTGTGATTCATCCAGTTAAACAATTATTGCATGTCTCAAACCCGTGGCCAAAAAGAAATTAGCCTCAGAGCAACAGAGAACTACTGTGAAAATGAAAAATCTGTCCCTCAAAACTTATACTACCATCTTTCAGGCTACTAATGCAAACTTCCAGAAAGCAACAATGTCCCATTCCTGATACCCACCAGTGCCAGAAAGGCAAGTGGACATTTTATAGCCTAGTGATACAAACCTTCAGTCAAATTCCTTTATTTTAATCTTCAAGCTTTCTTTTAAGTTCTGATTTTATTGCCTTCAGATCTCAAGGTCTTTTACGAAGGCAATATTTTGGAAAACCTTATAAAGAGATTTCCTCAACCGATAACTCTAAGAAATTTACCCATGATACACAAGAAGCTGAAATGTGCTAGCTTGTGTTCAGTCATTTTCAGTCACGTCCCACTCTTTGTGGCTCCATTTGGGGTTTTCTTGGCAAAGATACTGGAGCGGTTTTCCATTTCCTTCTTCAGCTCATTTTACAAGATGAGGAAACTGAGGCAAACAGGGTCAAGTGATTTGCCCAGGGTCATATAGCTAGTAAGTCTCTGAGGCTAAATTTGAACTCAGGCCTTCCTAACTCCAGGCCCAGCACTCTATCCACTGTGCCACCTAGTTGCCCTAACCTAGTAAGTACTTACTGTTGACTGACTGGGCATACAGACCTCTTTTCCTTATCTATAAAATGAAGGGTTTTGATTACATAATATCTGAGGTCCCAACCAACTCTAAAATGCTGCTCTTATTTAACCTAAAGGCAAATAGCTCTTCTAACTCATGTGGACTTCAAGTATCATATTCATTTTTTGTGTCACATGGTGGCTCCATTAGTATTGTATTAATGTATTACTATTTCAATAGTAAATTCAATTACTCCCATATGCATAGCTACATATCATATCAGCTAGATGAGAACCAATACTTAAAGGTGTTTTGGTGGGTGTGGTAAGTGTCTGGGGTCACATTTGAATTCATGTCTTCCTGCCTGTAGCCCCAGCACTCTATCTACTACACCACCTTGAATGCCACTTTCGATGCTTTATTTACATGCTCAATCCACTGAAGTAGGTCTTTTTCTTTCCTTGATTTCGCAACAATTACCTTAGGAAGTTAACTTGACCTCACTATGGTATTTAAAGAATCACTGCTAATTAAGAAAATTTGTAATGCTGTCAGATTTATTTTTGTGAAATTCCTCTTTTTTTGCTAGATGAAACATTCCATTGTGAAATATTGTGGATAAAGATGATCTTTGAGGAATTACAAATTTAAATGTTACTGTTTGTAACTCCGTCTTTACGGACAAAAACATTCCAGGCATAAGTCTTAAGATTATGTAATGTACACATCTTTGAGTTGGTTCCTACTTGATGTTTGAATTGAAAATTTATTCTGTTCATTTAATGAAGGATCATGAGTACAATTTAATTTCTCCACTTTACTTTGCTATAAGAGCAAACTCACAGTACCCTAAATGGAGAAGAGGCCATTCCTGCCCCTCACACACAGTTACATCTTCATGCAGAGACTTAATCTAAATTGAGTTCCCATGCAACTTGGTATACAAATGCTTTCTTAGGAGCATTTTTAGAATTAAAAAAAACCCCACAAAACTCAGCTTCTATTTCCCTCCTAAAATGTGTTTTAATTACACCAAAATATTTATTTCATCAACAACACACTGGAAACAAAATGGAAATACAAGACTAACTGCACAAATCGATGGGCCTTAAATACAATCATATACTTGGCAATATAACTGTATAAAACTGAATCTGCTATTCACTGAGGTGAAAAATAAATATGCGATTCAATCTGCTACCAATGCAAATCAGTAGTTAAATCCGCAAGCCAATGAACTTGGGAGATGGTCCTTTAGATTCAAATGCCCCAGTCTTACAAACACAGGTGAGAGATAACTACTGGATTTCAGAAACCTGTGAGTTCAACTTTGAGTATGTGAATTGGCAAAATATCCAGTTTCTACCTTTGAGGGACTTTGAAAACTACTCATAACAGAGTGTTTCAGAGAACACATGCTGGGTCTATGAATATTATGCATTCATATATCGCAAAAACTGCATGTTACCTTTACAAATTCATAAATTTATTATATATTTATGTTATTTGTACTATGTAATTTATGTTGATTGTATACATTGAGTGGATGACCTATGACTATTTCCCTTCTAGTCTAGAATATGAGCATTAAGCACATGCTTAATTCCTGGGAGAAACTGAGACTTGGTTTGTAATAGTTCCTGTAAATAAGAGACCTGAGGTTATTTAAAAATGAGAGAAGGAAGGAACCTGGATAAGGTTGGGGGACACAAGAGATAAACCATTCAATGGATCTTTACTGAGGAATAATTTAGGTCCTTTCCTCCAGCAGTATTCAGAAACTTTGGCAGTGTCAATTTTATCCTAAAATATAGGCTCAGATCTTATGTGTGGACCTTCATACCTTTTTTTTTTTATCATTGTGGTCTACAGGAATTTGTGTGTACCTTTCTAAATGGATAAGAAAGGAACTTTGCAAAGCCTTCTTCAAATTCTAAGTTATGATGTCCAAATTAAAATTTCCTCTTGAGAAAAAAATCAGATCTAGGTTGGGATTGAAGACCATAAAATTATGTACTCTTACATATTTAATTAAACCAGAGCTTATTACACTATATTTGGAAACTGAAGGTCATTTACTAGAGTCCAAGAACAACTAAAATTATACCTATATTTATGTCTATCTCTATATCTATCTGTATCTATATATTTTCCTACTGTTAAGTATCTCTAGCTTGAGTAAGCTCACCCTGAACTTCTTTGCCAGTTTCTTAAGAACAACTTCCCTTATCTTCTTCCACATCTACCAGTCCTATAATGACTTTCTTATCAACCTGAATGGACTCAATGACTCTTTATCACCAAGTTGTCAAGACTCCCTTTTCCTCCTATGTACATAAAGAAATCTATACATATACAAAGTGATTCATCTTTCCTACACTGATTAAAGTACTTGGAATAAAATGGCTGTTTGCATGGTTCTTCAGTAGAGATTGAGCCAAATACAGAAGAAGTACCCTGTGAAGCTGTGGGTCACTAATATGCTACACTCATTTCAGATGTTCTACCCAAGTGGAATTAGGCCTTCCCCTCCTGTTTAGCTCTTTGCTCTGTTTTGAGTCACACATTTTGAGAGGATTATGACTGGTGGCCCATCCTCCTTTCCTTTAGCACAAGTCCAGGGAACTAAGTATCTGGAGGCTGTTTGTACAAGAGGAGGCTAGCTGTTTAATTGCTGTTGGTTTTTTTGTTTTGTTTTTTGTTTGTTTGTTTTTAGCCCAGTTGCTCAGATTCTTTGATTCTGTGTGTTGGGATTAAAAGGGCCATGTACAGTAGTATCAAAGAGTCATGGATTATAGTCCCAGGACCAGAGTTCAAATCACATCTCTGCCACTACTACCTGTGTGACTTTGAGTAAATCATTTTACCTCACTGGGCATCAATTTCTTAATCTGTAAAATAGAGATGGGCTACATGACCTCTGACCTTCCTTCAAGTTCTAAACTATGTTCCCTTTCCATCTTTAAAATGTCTAGGTCATTCTAAATTTTGGGCAGGGCTATGTAAACATCAAGTTCTCAATGCTTTATTGGCCCTAAAGAAGTGTTAAATAATCATCACAAAGAAAAATTCATTGGCTATGGAACTGTTTCCTAGGCTAATTATCTCTATCTTCATATATAACATGAAGTAATCAACTATAAAATATAAATCAAATAACTTCTTGCTACATACATACATACATACATATTTATATCTATGTATATGTGTGCATATGTATACACACAAAGACACAGGATCCTATCTGGA